CTTCCACATTGGAGTAGCAGCAGAGGGGAAGAGAGAAGATAAGAGAGAAGCAAGGACAAATTAAGCCATGGCATTTCAGCCTCCTTATTCCCCCAGCCTCTTCAGAAAAAGGGACAAGTAAGTAATCAGAACTAGACAGCTTCAGAGGGAGGGGCCGCGGCCGAGGAGTAAGTGGGGAGGGACGTTTTTCAAGGAGCCCATTAACGCCACACTAACGCTCGAGCACTCACTATCCTTTCTGTATTTCCTTTTCCAGCAAAAACCCAGTGTTTGCTTTGTGGCTTGTCCCACACCTCTCACATAGTGTCTTTTTCCGCTTCTCCTGACACAAGACCCTGTGTTTTGCTGGCAACATTGCCGAGTTTTGGGGCAGAACATTCCGTGTAGAAAATAAGGAAGACTTGCCTATAAATAGTTTCCTTCTGGCTTCATGGTACACAGTGCTTCAAGTGTGACAAAAAGGGAAGTGAGATGTTCCCCCTCATTGCCACCCCCAGCCTTCCACATCCACCCGGAGGTGTTTCCCACCCCTCATCAGCAGGCTGAGATCCTGCCTGAGGGTTCTGCTGCCCAGACTTTGCCCAGTCTCCCTTCTACTGTCCCGTGGGAACCCGAAGTAGGAAGGGCTCTTGTCCTGGACAGTCTGGCTTTTGAAGCGGAACAAACCAGTAGGAATGCTGAGACACTCCTTCTGGAGTGTCTTTATTCAAAGGGAATAAGTTGGCTTCCACGGAGGGCCTCCCGAAATGGAGGGTCTTGGACCCATCCTCATTGTGCCACCCTCCGTCTAGGAGGTGGTCCCTGACAGCAGTAGGGTCAGCTATGTCGATTTCGTTGCAAAGTCCTATGGCATTGGGATTAGAACTGAGAGCCAGTAAGGGGCCTGGCTGTCAGCTAGGCACTGTTGCCACACTGGCTCTGGGTCCAGCCTACATTGTAAGTTGTGGGATGCCAGAAAGGGAGTTTGGAAACATTTATGAATGTTGGGGCTGCTGGGCTGTTGAGTCCCTAGGCCACTGTTTCCTGTCTCGTGTCCCCTCCACAGGACACAAGGATGCTAAGAGTCTCAAGGATCAGCATGTTACTCAGTAATGTTAGATCAGATGATAGATACCATGTACAGCACAAGCTCCCACTCACTGCAAGGGTTGGTGCAGCTATTCCGGGCAGAGGAGTTTTCTGGTATGCCAAGGGTTAAGCAGAAAACCCTTTGCATTCCTCCTCCTCCTCTCCCACCCCCTCATACCTTCCCCTATTTTTCCTGCCCTTGGTTTAAGTCCATTTTCTTCCCTGAGGGAGACAGCAGATCCAGGGATCCAGTCATTCTTTGCTAATGGGGGATCATAAGATCTTAGGGCGATCACTTCTCACTCAGTAGCACTAGAGCTGTAGAGGGGATGAGAGATTGGCTACGTGTGGGCTGAACTTGGGACATCCTTTCCAAGTTGTTTTTTTAAACTAAGTTCCTGATATGACCTTGTTTTCTTGTTGTTGACCTCATCCTCCTAAAAGCTGAGCACAGCAGGAATAGGGGGAGAATGGAGTTAATTAAGGCAGTGATGAGTGGGCCCCCAGGAACTCAAGGTTTGACTGGACTGTGATTATTATTCTGAGATGCCATACCTTATTTGGAATATTATATACCCTAGGACTACATATTTTATTCTGGAAGCCACCCCGCTGGATTAATATTTTCTATTTCCTAGGTCAAGATAGCTTTATTTGAGGACTGCGTGGATCCCTTTTGAAATGATGTGGGTGAGCATGACCCTTTTATAAAGCTCATTTGGGTCGGTTAGCTTAGACGGTAGAGCATGGTGCTGATAACACCAAGGTCCAACTCCTGTTGGACCTTGTTGGTGTTGGACCAACACCAAGGTTCAATCCCTGTACCAGCTGAACAGTTTGGATATTCTTCTGGTCCCCCAACCTTAAATGTCAGAAAAGCCAGCTGTGCTAACAGAGGTCAAAGTCAGCCTCTAGACCTGTCTAATAGTAGCACTGCTGGCATCCTAGGGGCACGAGACCTATCGACAATAAGAGCTTAATTAAGCTCTTAATTGTCACGAGAAGCGCCCCTCACCCTTTCTTCCTCCTCAACACTCTCTTGCACCTCCAACATATCTCCCAACTGCCTTGACTCACACATTCGCACCTCCACCTCCACTCATTCAACAAACCTGCTCTCTGCCCCACTAGTAAGTGTAGTAGGAACAAACTGGATCTCTAGGTCAGGAAGACCTGGGCTGGAGTGTCAGCTCTGCAATTTATTAGCTCTGCCACCTTGGGCAAGGTAGCCTCTCAGACCCTCAGTTTCTTCATCTGTAAAATGATGGTGACAGTGCCTACACCACAGAGTTTGTGGCACAGCCATCAGTGTTTGCCCATGGCTGATGCTCTGTTAATGATAGGTCTTATTGTCAATAGGTCTCAAACTTGTCTTGTTTTTTAACTGAAGTATAATTAATGAACAATTCAAATGCAGCTTTGCTAGCAAACTTAACCTCTTTTCCTTTCCCTCTCCAAACCTCCTGGATTTCTCTGCCTCTGTCTCCACATAAGGGAGTCCCCATCCAAGGAACTGTTTTACTTCTGTCCTGCGTCCTGTTTTCCTGGCAGTGTTTTTCCCCTGACAACCAGCTTATTTCTCTCTCCTCTTTTCTTCCCATCATCTCCCTTGGAATCTTGGGGTGCGTAGCAGTAGCTTAGGAAAAATTAAAAAGCCAATGAAAGGTCAACTTAGAGACTCTTCCTGGACCAAGACAGCTCTATGTGGCACAGAGGGCAGATTAATATATCAGGGAATTCCAATATCAGTTAAGCTCCTGGTTTAAGATATTTTCCTGAGCTAATGTTCTTGATGACCTGTAAATATAGTCTGCACTTTGTTCTGTCTACCACGCATGGCTTAGTGCAAACACTATGTTTTCAGAGCTTGTGTCCTAAAGTTAACAGAATGTTCTCAGATTGGGATTGTCTCCCATCAAAGTCGGCTGAAGAAAAACACCACCCTAGGCTAGTTCAGGAGGTTTGCTTGGATAGTTATATCAGTCGGCTCTTTGCAAACATGATGGCCATTGTGTACATCTTACCACCACCAGAATCCACAGTGGGGCCCCTTGTCATAGCCAAAAATGTTGGCTGTTTGGTGGCATAACTTCTCCTGAAGCCTGGAGGAAATCAAGGCCTTCAGACTGGGCTTGGCGGGGGCCTTGGCCAAAGTGTTGTGCCAGGCACCTGGTTAAGAAAAATATCCTGAAGCAAATAATAACTACCTTCTCTGCTGATAAGAGGCCCCAGTACTTTTCCAATAACATGATTGCATTAAGATATTTCTTTGGACCACAGCCTGTGGAGCACTGATTCATGGGTACTGGCCTTAACTCCATCTAAACTATTCTATATGTGTGGAACCCGATGTTCTCCTTATGGTCCTGGATTGGTGTAAAGAATATTCCTGCTTGCATCACCTGTCCCTTTCTCTGCCCAGATTGCTCCTTCTGGCTGCAATTATTCTTATGACCACCAGGTGGCCTCGTTTAGGAAGGAGCAAGAGAAGAAGGACCTTAAGCCTCTAGTGTTTTTTCTTTTTTTTTTTTTTAAGCTTGAGGTTGAAAAGAATGAAAACATATTTTGATGAAAACATGTGTAACTGTTATTAGACAATAATTACCTCATTTTCCTTGTGATTTGGAGTCAGGTTTTTTTTCCTGTAGTACCCTCTAATGCTTTGTATGGTTTGGACCCGTCACAGGTCCATCCTGGGATGGCTTATACATAGCCTTGGTTGTAGTTTTGTTGTTATTTGCTATTTATAGGAAAGTAACAAGATTTTTTTTTCCTTTTTGTCTTTTTTACTGACTGGTAACGGGATCGCAACCCTCGGTGTCGCGCCCGTACCGGGGACCGGCAACGGAATCGCAACCCTCGGTGCTGCGCCCACACCGCGCTCAGCCAGTGAGCGGGAAGTGGTCTCCACATGGGATCCGAACCCTCGGCGGGAGCGCCGCCGCACTCCCAAGCAGCGCACTCTCCAGTGCGCCACCGGGCTGGCCCAAGATTTTGTTTTTTAAAACATAGAGACATGAGTTCCTGGATAACATCAGTAATTTATCACTGATAAATCAGTGCTCCACAGGCTATGGTCCAAAGAAATCTCCTATTGCAATCACATTATTGGAAAAGTACTGGGTTGAAGGTATTTTCTTTGCAGAGTAGGGGCTAGCATCTTGTGGTCACTCCATTGCCCATTCCTGTACCTTGTATCCTCCCCACCTCCTCTACCACCCACCTTGCTGCTCCCTCATGCATGTTCACCCACTCATCTGAGTCCCTGGACACCCTCTTCCATACACATACATGCACAAATTAGTGGAGACCTGTGCATGTGTCACATGCATGTTACAGATCTGTGCATGTGGGAATTTACAGACAAATACTCCCACACGTGTACATTCAAAGGAGGAGGTGAGTGAATGGGTGCGGGCGGGGGGGGGTTGGGCAGGCTGGCGGGCCAGCTGGCAGAGTGAGTGGACAGCTGGGTTCGTGAAAGCGAACATGCAGGTGAAAAAGTATGTGTGCAGGGGAGAGACTGAGAGGGCAGTCCGTGGGAAGAAGGTGAGGATGGGTGTCCAGGGAGTGTGACATATGAGAGCATTGCAAAGCCATGTGGGCATGCTGGCTGACATACGAGAGCTTTTAAAACCAGAGCCCCCCTATACTGAATGCTTTCTACCTCCTGTTAGGCATCTGTACTTCTTATTTCTCCAGAAATCAGCTCCAGTTTGGTTTTTACCCATCTCCAGAGCCCTCTTTGGAGATGCCAATTAGCACAAGAAAGTGCTGAACTGTTTACAGTCCCAGACTAAGGTTCAAGGAGGGGATGTGGTTTAACTGGGCCACAAAGCCGGTACAGGACTCATTTGCATGGCCTCTGACGCCATGTGACGCAGCCGACTCCTCCTATATAAAGAAGCAGGAGCCGAAATATCTCCGCTTCTGGGTTGGACTGGCGGCCGTGGAGTTTGTGACACACTAGGTGACACCCCTCGAGTCACTTCCTTTCAACTCCAGCTGGAGCGCCTGCCTGTTTGGGGTCCGCTCGGCAGCCTTCACCCCCCTCCTAACCCCAGGGCCGAACTCCGGCACGGAGCCCAGCCCGGTGCAGCGCGCCAGCAGCCGCCCAGCCCGTCCAGAGTGGCCAGAGCTCCCCGGCAGCCCGAGCCATGAACACCGAAATGTATCAGACCCCCATGGAGGTGGCGGTCTATCAGCTGCATAATTTCTCCATCTCCTTCTTCTCTTCCCTGCTTGGAGGGGATGTGGTTTCCGTTAAGCTGGATAACAGGTAACCACTGGCCTCAGCTCCCGGGCTGAGCCGAGCCGGGACGCCGGCAGTGGCTGGGGTCCGAGCCGGATCTCCGAGCGAGCCGTGCGCCGCCGCCGGTCCCTCTTCCCCGCGGTGCAGCATCCTGGGAAGGGGAGGGGGTAGGGGACGCAAGAAGGCGGGGGGGGGGGTCACCGCCGCTCTGGGATCCGCAGTCGGAGCGTCCCTGCGGCCGCTGCGCGGTGAGAACCAGCTGCTGCAGCCGCAGAGGCAGCCGGAGGCGGAGGGGCGGCCAGCAGGGCTGGGCAGAGCTGGGCAGGGGGCCGCTGCGAGCCGTGCTCCGTTTGGGAAAAGGCGGAAGCTTCCAAGCCGAGAAGGAATTCCTAGCTAGCTTCGGAGCCCGGTAGGCTTGCCCGGGACCTTCTGGGCCGGCGGCCGGGGACTCCCTGGGCCGCGCGCCCCCATTGTTTGCATATCGCCCAAGCAGGCCACGCTGGCCTGTGTGCCCCTGGACCGGCGCGCCGCTCGGCGGCTCAGAACTCAGGGTGGAGGCGGCGCGGAGCCGAACCTGCCTGGGTGGGGAGGTGCAGTTTCCAGCAAGGGCCAGGGAAGGACCTGGGGACAAACTGCCCGGAACTCTAGGTCAGGGAGGCGAGAAAGAGGAAGAGCTGGGGCAGATGGAGGACTTTGGCCACCGCTGCCAGGTACTCAGAGGGGAATCGAGTGGGTAACAGGTCGCTCTGATTTTTGTCTTGACAGTGCCTCCGGAGCCAGCGTGGTGGCCTTAGACAACAAGATCGAGCAGGCCATGGTGAGTGGCATCACTGCGTCATTTCCATCCCCAGACTTAGCTGTTGCTTATGTAACTCCGGGCAGGACCGATGGGGTGGCCGCAAAAGCAAAAGCCGTTAGCCAGAAGCCCGAGGAAGCAGACAGCCTGCTTGCTATTCCCCCTGGAAGCCTTAGGTAGAGTCGATTAGAGTGACACGTCTTAGGACGTTTACAGTCTGCCCTTGCTAGGCTCCCTCCTTGCTTCCTCCCTCCTCCATCCCAGAGCATTGTGGCAGCCTCTGGCTCCCTCCTGGGCCAGTTGCAGGGCAGGGAGCTCAGACCCTTGCATTTGTTTGTATCCCTCAGTTGGCAAGGGGCAGAGCTCATTGGATGAACCTCACTGCAGTGCTCTGCAGCACCTGGGCTGGGGTCAGGAGTCGGGAGGAAACAGGAAGCAAAAAGCAAAGCACCCCACCCTACCAGGTAGAGGTCATACTTCAGGAGCAGCCAAAATGGCTGCAGAGGGTTGGGGCTTCCAGCCCTTAAGAACCTCTTAATTGTGCCCTGGAGCCTAATGACACAGTTCCCTGCCCCCAGTGCAGTCATCAAATTAAGAGAGGATGCAGCAACCCGTACATTCCCCCAGAGACAGTGTCTTGTGTCCTGGCTTGCCAGGCTGCAGGACAGCTGCGATTCAGTGTGCTGTGTCATATGGAGGGGAGGAGATTCCAAAATAGCCAATTTTATTCTCCTGGTGAAGATTTGTAAAGCAGACAAACAGTACGGGGTGCATTGCAGCTTCCCCCTCCTGGGATCTGAGCCAGCAGCAGGACCTGATATGGAAAGGGGGGCATAGCAAGCCCCTGGTAACCAGTGGAAGTATCACCCCAAAGGTCCCTAAGCAGCCAGCTTTGAAAGTCATTAGAAACTTAGGGGGGGATCTATCTAGTTCAAAGCTGGGCTCCCAACTCTGGCATGGCCCCAATCATGCAGTTGTGCTGAATGAGGGTTTAAGTGCCTCAGAGGAAGGCACAGGAGGAATTGGGCTGCAGGGCTGGCGTGCTGAGGGAAGACTGGAAGGCAGTGACATTAGTCAAGAACAGCACAGGCACGTTGATGGCAAAGCAAAGGTGCTGCAGAGGGACCGTGATGGCTAACGAGAGGCTTTGTTGTGATTTCCTCTGTGGCAGGATCTGGTGAAGAATCATCTGATGTATGCTGTGAGAGAGGAGGTGGAGGTCCTGAAGGAGCAGATCCGAGAGCTGGTGGAGAAGAACTCCCAGCTGGAGCGTGAGAACACCCTCTTGAAGACCCTGGCAAGCCCAGAGCAGCTGGAGAAGTTCCAGTCCCGTCTGAGCCCTGAAGAGCCAGCTCTCAAATCCGAAGAGTCCAAGGCCCCTGGTGGTTCTGCAGTGTAAGTGGCTCTGTCCTCAGGGTGGGCAGAGCCACTAAATTTGTTCTACCTAGTTTTTTCCAGTTTGTTTTTGGCTCCCCAAGCGTCATCTCACGTGGAGAACTTTACACCTAGCATAGCTGGTGCCAAGAGATGTCCCGAGGACATGGCCACCTGGGTCCACTCCAGTGACAGACCCCTGACAAAGAGCAAGTCTCTGGAGGCTGAGTTGCATGGGGTCTAGTAACCCCAAGCCAGTGAGCCTCTAATGCCATGGCACCCTGGGGGCTCCCAGGGCCTGGGCAACTTAGCTGCAACTGGCAAAGGAGAGAGGTAGCTTGAGATGGGACGCCAGTTTTCTCCAGAAAGTATAGGGGGTCTGTTTTTCATTTCCATTGACATCTTTAACAGTTTCACCTAACAGCAACTGTTCCTATGAAGAAGCAACTTGTGTTTTAAGCAGAGGCAACGTCTCTCTTCTCTCCTGCCTCGCCAAGGCCAGGGGCACGGATGGGAGAGACTGAGCCGAGCCAGCCTTCTGCTGGTTACTATGGTATAGTGCATGGCTTTGTGCACAGCCCAGTGTGGGATCACAGCTTTGGGATGACCGCTTACAAAGTTCTGTTTGGTTAGTGTTGGCATAGTTTTTCTATATAGCCATAAGTGCGTATATACACTCATAGGGCTAGATCTATATCTTAGTGTAGCAATGTATACGTATCCACATACACCTACATGTTGAAGGGCCTAACCAGCTTTAGGAGTACTGACTGGTCCCTTATCTCTTAGGGCTAATCCTTTGACTGTGTTCATTTACCAAGTTGATCCAGTTTGTCCTTTAGGTTAAGCAAGAGTAAAGGCAGGGAGAGGGGCCAGCCTCTGAGCGTGGCCACAGATGCCTTGCTGCTGCAGCCCTTTCCCCATCTGTCCACTGAAAACATGTGAAATCCTCTTTTGAACGCCAAACCCACCATTCATTGGTGCTGACTACATAGAATGGGGTTGAGAGAAGATCAGTTTGTACTTCATAGTGTCATTTGAAAACTTTTTTGTTTTTTGATTTTTGTGGAAAACTTTAGGGTGAACAGAACGATGGTGTCCTACTGTTGACGAAGGAGGGACAAGGGAATGGCTTTGATCCCATGGGGCCTGGGGGATGTACCCAGGGAGCTTGTCTCTAGGGGGTTCTGTGATAGTGAACACTTTCCACTTTCTGACACCTTATCCTGATGTATGTCTCCAGGATTTGGATTTTGATTTTTCAAATGTAGCTTGAAGTTTCAATAAACTTTGCTCTTTTTTTTCTAAAAATAAACTTGGTGTCTGACTGAATATATACAGACTGGGCAGGAGAGGCCCCTCACTTGGTGGGGGCAAGCTGTTTTTCTGACTCACTGAACATTCATTGAACACCCCCTCAGCGCCAGGCCTATGCTACATCCATGATCTTGTGTAGTCTGCACGACACCTGCATGAAGGATGTGCTCTCCACCCTCACTGTATGGTTAAGGAAGCAGAGACTCAGCAGGTTTAAGTGACTTGCCCAAAGTCACACAGCATTTATGCTGTGAATCAGGACATCCCTTCTCACATCCTTCCCTCTCCGTCCTGGTCCCGCTTTGGAGTGAGTGGCAAGGTGACTCTTAACACACAACCTCAGCTTGAGAGGGTGATTTGGGAGGAAGGATACCCCCAAATATATACATGTGGGGCCGCAAGATAGAGGAAACATGAGTGGGCTTCTCTCTTCTGAAAAGATCATCAGGATCACTTCACACATTCCCCTTAATACCAATCCACATGTGACCCTTGACCTTGGCAAAGGACCTAAGAGAGTCTTAGAAAAGGACATGGAATGTGGGAGGTGGCAAAACCACCCTCCTCTTCCCTGCTGTCCCCCACCCCTGCCCAAGGAAAGATGCCCTCAATCATTGCTGCTCCACTGTCACTGCTGAAATTTCTGTCAAAAAAACCCTCCAGCAGCGTGGACGGGACCAAGTCTAAGGCTCCTGACCCCAGTTTCCCTCTTCTGCCTCTCTTTGGGGTTCATTATCACCATCACCCACTCCCAGCCCCATGTCTCCAGCATCTGGAGTCCTGCCATTTCTTTGATTGGCTGTCGAACATTCAGGGTCTCCTGGACCACACCCTAACCTGGACCCTGAGCTGTGTTCTAAGCCCATTGTGTTCCTGAGGGAGACTACCACCACTGTTTAAGTAACTCCACCCAATCTCAGCTTCCTGTAGCATATAGACCTATCCTTTTGCACTTGAAATTGAACAGAACTCCTTGATTTTCCTAAGCCACAACCTTAAGGTGACCAAGATGTCTTGGCCTCCTCCCTTGTGCCAATCACTGCTCAAATGTAATCAACATGACATGCTTCCTTCTCTGTAGAGGTCAGACATGTTTGCCTGTTCTTTTCCAATCACCAAAATCTTTCTTCAGAACCTTGCAAACCCTGCTTGCTGGCCTCTCAAATCCCAGTTTCCCCACCTGCTCCTAACCTCTCTCCTCATGATGCCAAGTTCATTGTCTACACTTGCCAATTTGGTCATGGTGTGCAGATTTCACAGCTGCTAGTACAGATGTGAACTCTGGACTAACACATTCAAAGTCCCCAGGCAGCTATGCCCCACCCAACCCAGCTCTCCCAATCCCCACTTACTCCCAAACCCCTCCCCTTTTCAAAACAAACTGAGGGGCTTTTCGACTCTTCAGTTCTTCTTCTGTAGACTTCCCACACCCAATTTCCAGCTACACAAGAACAAACATGAAAAAAAGAAACCCAGAAAATAGCCCAGCACCACCCCGAACCTCTCTGGTCACCAAGCTCTTCTCTGCAAGAAAGGGGAAAAAACTTGTCCCACAGTCACATAGTAGTGAAGAGAGAACCACTTTGTTTCCTAGGCAACCCCAACTAAACAGAGACAAACACTGCAACTTCTGAGGCCACAGCGGTTACGAGACCAGATAAGAGGAACTCTGTAATGTTTCTTAATCACATATAGGAGCAGCTCTTGTTGTTTCTACAGAAAACTAGCTAGGGATGGAGAAGGCAAAAGAACATATTGCTCCTGGAAAGACTTTGATGGCCTTTGGAGTTTTGGGCTCAACTTGTCCAGCTGGACCCAGAACGAGGAAAAAAACAAGATCCGCAGTGATCATCATCCCCTGCCTGGCTATGCCATCTCTCCATGTGCCCTCCTATCTATGGTCTCATCTGATCCTCAGGCAGCCCTCCCAGCAGAACAGCAAGGATCATGAGGGCACCGTTTCGTGTCCCCTTTCTATTTCCTGCCCTTAGAAAAAAGGCAGTTATGATGTACTTCCATTTGACAGACTAGAAAACTGAGAGCCAGAGAGCTTGGTGTTATTCCTACGGCTACCACATATCTCATGGAACGGTGGTTCCCAGCCTTTGTGACAACAAGGGTCCCTTTTAAATGTCAAAAATATTCTCAGACCTCCTGCAACCCGATAGTAGTTGGATTTTTAGTATCCATCGGGAAAGAGAGCAAGAGACAGAGAACACATTGTGACAAACACTGGCTGTTAATTCAGCAAGGCTTTTAAAGGAATTGATTATATTCGCCATAAAAGCATAGACGTGTATTTGAAAACTAGAACAGTAATGCATATAGCTAGATTTAGTTGTTCCACAACGTAGACATATTTCAAAATATCATGTTGCACATGATAAATACATACAATTTTATCTGTCAATTTTTTTTTAAAAGAAAAAACTAAAGCAGAAATGTGGGCATAGATTATTTACAGAAGGGCCGGCCCGTGGCTCACTCGGGAGAGTGCGGTGCTGATAGATTATTTACAGACAAGCACTGCTTGGGGCACAAGGTGCGGGGCTCTCAGGCCACAGAGTAAGGCGCTCCCGGGAGGGCTCTGAGAAGGAAGCCAGGGAGCAAGCAGAAGCGTAGGCAGGGCCACTGGGGCCTGGGGTGTAGTGTTAGGGTTAGGGTTAGTCCTTCTAGAGACAGACTCTAGAAAGACCACAGGAAAGAAGGTGCACGACCCCTGTCACTTAAGGTATTTTGAAGTTGTCCTAACATCAACCTACTTATGCTGTAAAATCTTGCTTTCAAATCTTACCTCCTCTCCTCCTAGTTGGTTAGAAATCAACGGACATAATTAGAGCTTTGTAGACAGCCCACTTTCTCAGGTTCTCTCATGCAGAGAAGCTCACTGAAACCCAAATACTTAACCACCCCCACTGGATCAGGCAAGGTTTAAGAGAGAATTCCATCAGTTAGCTATTCCAAGAAGCGGTTTCCAGGGAGGAGATGGCTGGAAGAGGCAATGCTGGCAAATAATTAATAATAATAGCTAACACTTACATAGTGCTTACTTTATGCCAGTCACTGACCCTTTTACATCTAATGACTCTTTTAATCCTCTCCATAAACATATCAGATATGTCCTATTAAGATCTCCATTTTAAGAGCTGGCCCATGGCTCACTTGGGAGAATGTGGTGCTAATAACACCAAGGCCACGGGTTTGGATCCCTATATAGGGATGGCCGGTTTGCTCACTTGGGAGAGTGTGGTGCTGACAACACCAAGTCAAGGGTTGAGATCCCCTTACCAGTCATCTTTTAGAAAAAAAAAAAAAAAAAAATCCCCATATTTTACAGGTTATTTTACAGAATATTTTACAGAATATTTTACAGGTTAGAAAATGAAAACACAGAGAGGTTAAGTAACTTGCCCAAACTCATCAGCTAGTGAATGGAAACTAGACTGTGGGGAGGTAAAACAGGTACACTGAGAAACAGGATGGAGAATCTGAATTGTTTTCATAGTTCCTCCTGAATAACTAGAAGTGTTCCAGGGGTGGAGGGGGGGTGTAAAAAGGAGACCACCCCAAACTAGCAGAGGGCTAACATAAGAAAAAAAATGACCAATGAGTCTGGGAGGGGTGGGAGTGAACAGAGAAGGAGGGAACGGGGAGGATGGGAGATGGGGGGCTGACTTGGCTGGCTCCCAGCCAAATGACTTTAGATAGGATCTACCAGGTATCAAGGAGCCACAGTGGACTTCTGAGCAGGCAGGTGATGTGATGCAAAAGATATTTGCAGAAGATGGGTCTTGGCAGCTGGAGCGGCTGGAACAGGCGAAGGCTAGCGGCAGGCCAGCTGTTGCTGTAATCCAGGTGTGAGGTGATGAGGGCCAGCTGGGGCAGGGATAGGGGTCATGGAAGGGAGAGGAAGGGACAAAGCCAAAAGACATTGCAAGGCAACATTTCTCCAAGTGTAGCCTGCAGTCCACCCGCATCGGGTTTGTTAGAATGTTTAAAATGTAGATTTGAGGCCCACCCCCAGATTTAAGATAGGGTAGGGCTCAGCAATTGATAGCTCTAACAAGTCCCTGGTGATGCTGGAGTATGGGAAATTTTGAGGAACCTGCACTAGGTGAAAAGTCAGCATGACCTGGTGGCAAAGTGAGTCGAGGAAGAGAGAGCCAAACAGGCATGAGCCAAGGATGACATGAAAGGTTTTTTTTGTTTTGGGTTATTCTTACTGTGGTAAATTATGCCTAACATAGAATTGACCATTTTAACCATTTTTAAGTGTCCAGTCCAGTGGCATTTGGTACATTCATTCTTATGCAGCCATCACCACCATCCATCAGTAGAGCTTTGTCATCATCCCAAACAGAAGCTCTGTACCCATCAAAACTTCAACCCTCTCCCCTAGCCTCTGGTGACATGAAAGTTTTAAGCCCAGAGGACTGAGAGAGTATGGAAGCACTGGAGAAAACAGCGGGGATAGGAAAAGGCTGTGGCTTTTCAGAGGGAAGATGAATTCCAATTTTGATTTCTGGCTGAGCTAAGCATATTTACAAATGGAAATATCCCACAACCAGCTTTGGAAAGAGAAATGTGAAGTCAAGGGCTGCAGCACAAGATATGGGCGTGTCTGCATGTGGCAGGAGCTGAAGTGATGTAAGTGGACATGCGCCCAGAGCAGTGGCTGCAGAGGAGGACGAGCAGAAGGCCAAGAGCCGAGCCTTGGAGGCCGTCCACAGGGAGGCCACGCCAGGGGGAGGAAGGGAAAGCCCCAGGGGAACACTGAGCTTTAGTGATCTCTCCATTTTTATCTTTTGGTCTATGCTTTTTGACATTTTCTCTTCACATTCCTTACCGCAAGCCCCACCATCTGGTAAAATTAAATAAGTCCCCAAAGGTCACTTTGGGGAAGGCTGAGGCAGCCGAAATGTTCTAGGAAGGGACTAAGTCAGGAGTCCCAGGCTGTGTCCTAGTCTTTGGCTAGCAAGCTGTGTATGTGACCTTGAG